ATCATACAATTGGAGCAGTTGACAGCTGGTATTCAAAACATATGACCAAGACCCCGTATATTACACAAGGGACCACCTATATAGCTAATATATTTCCCACACTACCCAATTAGCGAAGGACACAGACATGTGTTTCAATGTACAACACATGCGAGACCACACATATTGTTGAATGATTTGTAGGTAATATTATGTATCCACTCGCACCGCCAGCAATAATAGGGAACAATTGGAACTGCAATAGGAACAGTTGAAAGTAATATGAAATATAAAAAAAAAGGGTGGGGGGGAAGATAAGCTGTAACGCCTAATGCATGTCATAGAGTAAGACAAAGGCTGATGTACAACCCTGAAGTATGTAGATTCAGAGCACATCCACGCTCCACCATGATACCTGTATCCAGGTATAACACCCATGATTGGGTTACAGTAGTGCTAACTACATTCACCATACTTCATCAGTATGGTTTTACCCCACAACACCCTTACTCCCTCCCCCCGCCCCTCCACGTGTGGATCATCTAACTTACCATACAATTGCTATCCTTTACCCTTACTGGGGGCTGGAACGTGTCAAACACTATACTCACCAGACGGGGAGGCCGTCCTTCACTGGCCCCCAGTATACACACCAGATAAGCCAGGAGTACTACTTCCTCTTCCATATGGGTAAAACAGGGGAACACGCGCAATGCGCAGGAGCTTTCTCAATGACACACAAGCTCATAAAGGCAATCACAATATACCTACCATAGTATGAAAATACGATGCCATAATGTCCGGGGATTGAACACCCCATTTAAACGGCCCTCCTTTTCCGAGACCTTAAACGCACACAACCTGATATAATCTTCCTCCAAGAGACACACTTCAAGACACCCCCCACGCTTAAACCGTCTCAATACCCACATTAATATCACGCCACATCTGGGCAAAAGAACAGAGGAGTGTCAGTTCTGATTAGCAACAAGGTGTCATCCGAACACCATGCATCCCATATAGATTCTGAGGGTATATACCTCATAGTAATCTGCACAAGTAATAATACTAAATACATGCTGGTTAACGTGTACGCTCCCATGTACACAAACCAGAGAAACTTCTTGAACAAGGTCCTTGCTCTACCCTCGCCGGTCCAGGAGGGAATGCTTACTCCCAGCAGCACTTGCGGTGCAACCGCACTTTTTTTTAAAGGGGCCCGGTCGCGCTATTACGTGGCTGCAGCACTGACCGGGCCCCAGAAGATATAGGGCTCATCAGGTGGCCCTAAATGCTTGGGCCACCTGATGGACCCCGGTGCAGATGCCACTGCGGAAGTTTCACTGCTCCATGTGGGGGCCCCCCAGGGCCGCCGGGCCCGTGACAACCACCATGGTTGTCACCCCTTGATGGCAGCCCTACAGGAGCCTGTGGATCATGGCTCCTGAATCACAAACAATACCATCCCCAGCTGCTGGGACTGCCTACTGGAGTAATTCTGGAACAACACAAGTATTAAACTGTAAGTAAGAACCTTATTCGTATCTGCAGGGTAGGAAAATACACACAGTTAGTAATCAGCTCTTCCAGAGCTCAAATCCAAATGCGACACTTTTACAGACATAACCCAAGATTTGGAGGAATCTTATACTCTCTACAGTTTTCAGTACAGAGAAGGGCAATTGCTCGTTATTCATATTTTCACTGGTGACATTTAAGGTGTTTGGTTTAGTGTATTTTGTCACTTATACAGACAAACATATACCTATATATGAAAAATATATATTTGCCATAGGGTGATTAATATAGCCCAATACATACCAAAACCAAACAGAAAATGGGAAAAAAATGGATATAAATGCCTATCCGTGATTAACATGTAGGCTAATAAGACAAATAATTAACCACTAATTAAACTTTCAGCATGGCCAGCCTCACAACTAATCATTGTAGAGATACTTTCAAAATATGGAGAAAAGCCCATGAATAAATGTAGGAAAAGAAAAATTAAACCAACAAAGGGCCCCCTTATGTCAAAGGTAAGAACACAGATATAGGGAAAGAATAGACCCAGAAGTGGATTGTGAGTTTGTGGTTACAAAACAGGATGAGCGGGAATAAACGCGTTTGGAGAAGTTAAGATCTGGAAGAAATGTGCAGATCCCATTTTTAGAGATTAGTGTTATAAAAACTTAATGTAGCAAGCTTATACAGTCCTAACTTCAAAATATTCGTGGTACACCGAATACCGTACACCATAGCTTAATCTTTGGAAATCGCTTGTAACAAAGATGAAAGGAAAGCTGCATGATATATCTGCACATAGAAAATGTGATAAAACTAGAAAAAAAATTGAGGATTTAACAAAAATAAAATCATACATATAGATGAATACATAATAGCAAATACATTTCAGAAGTAAAAAAAAAAAAATGCATATATCCCAAACTCTACATCTCTGTACATTAAGTATGTTGGACTGCGCTGTGGTATTTTGGGCTCCAAAGGCCTAGAGCCTAATAAGAGAAGCTGAATTACCATTTCCTATAAAAACCTATTTTTATTGCTTCAAGGGAGGAACTACACCTATTATCCAAAGCACAGCTACGATGGAAGAAGTCCACAGAAGGGCTCACAAGCTGCTGCTTGAATGCTCAGAGGCTGAAGTGGTAACAGGCACTATAGAAAAACAGAAATTTGTTACAATACTTACTGTAATTTTCTTTTCCTGGCTAATATCCATGTCAGCATCACCTGTGGGTTAGCTCCTCCCTCTCAGTTTATAGGACAGGAATATAAATTTCTAATTATGGTATATAAATAATCCACCTCCCCAGAATAAGCAGTTTCATAACCAAGTCAGTCGAGAAAAAAAGGAGGGTTTGTTGATGCCGACATGGATATTGGCCAAGAAAAGAAAATTATGGTAAGTATCGTAACAATTTTATGTTTTCCTGGCCTAACCATGTGAGCATCACCTGTGGGACTTCCCAAGAAAAAGTAAAAGGTGGGTGATAAAAAACAAAAAACAAAAGAAAACAAAATTATACCATATCAATGCTATACCAAATTAAATCAAACAGTTGTGGAAGTAGGACATTTCTCCCAAATGAGGAGGCACAGGAGATTGAAATGTCTAGGCTTCCATTCTCCTGGATGTACATAGTGTTGGCAACATTGTTCAGTTGTCCTGGAAGATGTATTGAGCTCCCCAACCTTTTCCGCTGGCATCTGTGGTTACTAATTCCGACTCTGGGTACCCTAACGGGAAGCCTCTCCTGATATTTTCTATGTTCATTCACTACTATAGATCTTATCCAGATCTTTTGTATCCATTCTTGATTGAACTGCTCTAAGAATTTTTTCTGTTTTATACTCAGGTTCCAGTGTTCCCACCTCACTAAACTGATAGTTGGGGACATTGTTCCCTGTGATGTTTGCAGTTGATATTAGTTGAAGTTATAATAAATCAGAAATCTCGTAAGTCCAGAATGACTGTCTCTTTATCTCTTATCAGTCTTCCTTTTGATTTGTTCACAATCAGTATATCTTCCAGATAATGGAATGTTCTTATTCCTTATTCCCATAGCAGAGCATCTAGGCTGAACAGGATCTTTGTGAATGTACTGGGTGCAAAGCTTAGACCAAATGGCATACATAGGAATTGGAAATCTTGAACCTTAGATACTGTCTGTGCGCAAAAGCTACAGGGATGTGATAGTATGCGTTTTGAAGATCCATGGATTTATGGAGGTTAGCCATTCTGTAGGATATATAGTTGAGGAACCATAATCTGAAGACTCTTCGTCTTGAAAGTTCTTTCTTTAATAGTGAGTTCACCTTTTTCAGATCCAACTTCATTCTCCATTTCTCTGATGGCTTTGGGCAAGAAAAACTTAAATTCCTTGAAATCTTTCTTTGGAAGGAATATAACAAATCACTTCCTGTTGAAGGAACTTTTCTATGCATTCTTGCATAGGTTTTTCTCTATAACTGACAGAACTGAAAGATCTGTGATGTGCAAGGACCAGATTCGATTAAATTTTTCAAGGCGGGCTCCTACCTTGAATATCTGTTTCCTGCTGTCTGCTGAATGAACGATTTTCCTGTTCCTCTTTTGGGTTTTGGAGGATTATCTCTGTTGTTCCTTCCAGTATGTCACATAGCTACATAATAATAATAACAAAGTATGTAACCAGGAAAGGTACATTCAGATTACTCTGGTTTTCAAGTACTTCCAGGGGTTGTTACTATTACCCAATTTAGAAGAATGAAGAGCGGAGTCAACTCTGCCAGGATCTGAACCTGCAACCCCCAAGGTGGGGGGAGAATAGATTCTACTGATGATGTATTAGCCCGCTGAGTTCTCGCATCAGCCTTTAGCTGAAAAGTGACTTGCGTCCATCAAGTTCAGTCTCTCTTACATATATTTTTTCTGTTGATCCAAAGAAAGGCAAAAAACTCCATCTGAAGCACTTCCAATTTTGCAACAAACTAGGAACAAATTCATTCTTGACTCCAAAATGGCAGTCAGATATCTCCTTGGAACATGGCACTCTAGAATATTCTCTCCCAGGCTATAAGATATGGAGTCTCAAAAGGAATTTAGTTGTTTGTATCCTTTGCTCCAACTGTTAGGATATTGCTTTATTCTTCTGTCTTGTGGCAGAAGAACTTTTTCCCCCTTCAGCCACCTTAGGTAGCATCGTCTAAGGGTTTTCCAAATAGAAGGTTTCCCTAAAAAGGAAGTAGGCATAGGTTAGATTTGATGAATTATCCCCATGTTCTCAACCAAAGAGCTCCTTTGGCTGAAAGTGAATGGCCCATAGCTTTGTATATAGGCTTGGCAAGGACTACCAATGCTTCTGTGATGCTGCACTGTCTATTGATAAAACAGTTCTTTTTGCCACTTTGATTATAGCCGCATCCACTTTCTGTGTTATGTTTTTAAAATAGTAGTATCAATGGCACCCAAGAAAAGGATTTGAAGGTAATTTTGAATTCATGATTTTCTTTTTTATGGGGAGCATCACAATTTGTACTTGAGACCTCGTGATCTGCAGTCACATTCTCTACCACTGTGCTATACCCCCAATTTTCCAGAATTATGTGTCTGTTAATTGGAATGGAAATAATATATTGACTTTCCCTTGGGTTGAAAATGTTTTGTCTTCTTTTATCCCCATTCTGATTCCATTAGATCTATAATGGTGGAGTATATAGGGAAAATAATTATTCTCATGTGCAGGTCCTCAAAGTATATATCTGAGTCCTTAGCTTCTCCACAATCCTCTGGGATTCTTAGAGTGTCTCTAATTAGATACATTAGTGTATCAACCACTTAACTGTCTAGGTTAGAAAAGTGATCCATGCTCTATTCATCCTCTGATGAGATAGAGCCATCTGGAATATGAACCTCTGACATAGAGCTTGAGGAATCTTCTCTTACTCTTTTAGGGTTTTTTTAGAGGAATGACTCTTGCAAATTACCTCTTTAATCCCAGCAGCCACAGACTTAGATATAACCTCAGCCAGATTTGGGTTAATGGATTCTGCAGAAATAGATGCACCTTAATCTGATATGATTAAAAGCAGTGTCTGCATAAATTTACCCCTTCAATTTCCTGGATTTTCTGTTATCCTTTGAACGTTATCTCTCAGGCTGAAATATATAAATATATATGTATATACATACACACACATATATACACACACACCACCTATACACAGGTATAGCCATTAGGTACTCTTTTATATTAGAGATAAAAAGTTCACCTTAAACTTCTATGTTTGAGTCTAGAGGTGGAGGAAGAGGAAGCCATGGTCACCAAAAGGCTACTAAGCAATTGAACTAATTACAAACATATACCAGCAAAATAAAACTTATTAAAAACCTTTAATATTGAATTAATGTAATTCTTTTACCTTTATTAATAATATTTGGCATGGTTAAAACCATCATTGGCATTTTGTACCAGGAATGGGGTCTGAACCCACACGGACATTTGTCCATTGGAACATATACCCAGAGTGGGGTTTGAACCTATGTGGACACAACCCATTTAAAGGAGATCAATAATATCTACCTTTAAAAAACCTTTTCAGTGAACTTCCTTAAAGGACAACTATAGGCACCCAGACCACTTCAGCTTAATGAAGTGGTCTGGGTGCCAGGTCCATCTAGGATTAACCCTTTCTGCTGTAAACATTGTAGTCTCAGAGAAACTGCTATGTTTACCTATGGGTTAATCCAGCCTCTAGTGGCTGTCTCATTGACAGCCGCTAGAGGCGCTTCCGTGCTTCTCACTGTGATTTTCACAGTGAGAAGACGCCAGCGTCCATTGGAAAGCATTGGAATGCTTTCCTATGGACTGGCTGAATGCGCGCATGCGCATTCAGTCGATGACGGCGAAAATGAGGGGGAGAGTTCCCTGCGCCGAGGGAGCCCGGCGGGGGAAAACAGGTAAGATTTAACCCCTTCCACCCCCTAGAGCCCGGCAGGAGGGTGGCCCAGAGGGTGGGGACCTAGAGACCCTATAGTGCCAGGAAAACAAGTATTTTTTCCTGGCACTACAGTGGTCCTTTAAATGTCACTCTGGCCCTTTAAGGCAGTTTGCACATGCTCTGTGCAAACAGGAAGATGCCAAGCGGCAGTGGTGTACTAAGGGGTGGGCGGTGCCACGCTCTCTACCTCCTGCCGGTTACACTATAATAATCTCTCCCTCCTAGCCCTGGCGCTCAGTCAGTGAGCCAGAGCACAGGGAGGGGATTTCCAGCCTGTGTTCTGAGTCATTACTGAGCATCACAGAGGTTATTATGGAGTGTACCAACAGGGTGCAGAGCATGTATTCTTCCAGATTACTCCCCCCTCGGCCACTCTGAAAATGCAGGGGATCAGAGTCAGCCTGACTAGATCCCCTGCCTGCACCTGCTGCACTGCCTGATCCTAGGCTGGTGATGCTGACATGGATTGGCCAGGAAAGAAAGCGATAGACTCTAAGACAGCCTAGTGCCCAAGTACCAGAACCCTTGCTTTTCACATGACCTGAATCTGATATTTCAGAATTGTGAAATAGGGAATCAATTAAGTGTAGGTGTAACTCAATTGTCAATTAGTAGATGACAATTTAACCCTTACATACATACATGTATTGACACACAAACACATACACTGTTGCAAACTAACATACACAGATACACACTGACACACAGGAACATACACACCACCCCTGACACACATACTCAGAAATAGATTATAATATACATATCTTAGCCACCCTCTTTTTTCATATTTCTAGGGTGTAGGAGGGTGGCTTCATATGTCCCTGTCTGTATACCAGGATGCTATGGTAATAGAGAACAGCCAGTCTGACAATAGCCCAGTTCAGCACACTGTTAAAAAGCTGTAGCACTTACCTGGGCAACGTGACCACTTGATGAGGCATTTTGACATATCATTTTTTTTTTTAAGGAATGCAGCTAACATATGCACATATAAAGTTTTAGAAATGGGGTAGGCAGCAAACTTTCTGCTTGAGATAGCACTTAGCCTCTGGCATAGTAAATTAATGAGAGTAGGGAGAGGGAACATTTCAGAAGTATCGCTGTCAGGATCTGGACATGTAAATAGAGCAGGGGTTAGATCCCATGACCTGATCTTTATGACAGAAGAAAGATTTGGGAAATTCAATTCCCACAATTCATTTCATTAACAACACTCACATTTATAAGGGCTAAAGAGACATTGGAGTTAATTGTGGACAAGGGGGCGCCCTGCGGCTGACACAGCTCAAACATGGCCAGCCGGGAACAAAAAAAAAAGCGGCGGGGGTGGAGCTTCCCGTGCGGCGGGGGCGTAGCTACAAGTGCCGGATAACTGCTACAGGGGAAGCAGGAAGGAGTCCCTGCTTCCCCAACAAACAGTCTCCAGGAGCTGCACTGCCTCCACAATGAACAGAGGTAACTATGTGTGATTGTGACTGTCTGCCGGCCTGTCTGCCTGTGTGTGTGACTGTGTGTGTGTATGACTGTCTGTCTGAGTGTGTGTATGACTGTCTGTCTGCCTGTGTGTGTGTGTGTGTCTGTGTGTGTGTATGACTGTCTGCCTGTGTGTGTGTGTCTGTGTGTGTATGACTGTCTGCCTGTGTGTCTGCCTGCCTGTTTGTCTGTGTGTGTGTATGATTGTCTGTCTGCCTGTGCGTGTGTGTGCGTACATGACTGTCTGCCTGTATGTGTGTGTGTGCGTGCGTGACTGTCTGCCTGTCTGTATGTGACTGCCTGCCTCTGTGTGTGTGGATGTCTTCATGTGTGTGTATGGTCATCTGCCTCAGTGTGTGTGTGGCTGTCTGCCTGTGTGTGTGTCTGTCTGTGTGTGTTTGTGTGTGGCTATCTGCCTGTGTGTGTGTGTGTGTGTGTGTGTGTGTGTGCTGTCTGCCTGTGTGTGTGTGTGTGTGTGTGCTGTCTGCCTGTGTGTGTGGCTGTCTGCATGTAAGTATGTGTGTGTGTGAGACTATATATGTGGCTGTGAGTGTGTGTGTGTGTGTGTGTATGTCTGCCTGTAATTGTGTGTGAGCATGTTTATCTACCTGTAACTGTGTATGTGTGTTACTGCCTGTATCTGTGTGTTTCTGCCTGATCCTGTGTATGTGACCATCTGCCTGTGACTATGTGCATGTGGTGGATTTGACAGTGTATATGTATAACTGTGTGCATATGACTGTGGGACTGTGTGAAAATAACTCTGCAAAAATATACACCTGCATTCACACACAGTCCTAAATGCATGTTTTTATCTGAATTAAATAACCATCACACACAGCCAATAAACCCAGCACAAACATCACATATTGTAATGGGTGTATTAACAGTGTATATCAAACAGTGTATATCACACACTGTTAATACACCCATTATATCACACACAGCCAACACACAGTCACCTATCACATACACAGACAACACATACATGGATGACAGGGGGGGGGGGGCGCTATCAAGATTTTTTGCACAGGGTGCCTAAAGGCTTAAGGCTGGCCCTGATTGTGGATCTGGGGGATTGCGACATTTTGTAGTAATATCCAATCTTGCGGGAACATGTCAAATTTTGAAAGAAATTCCATCACAACTGAATAAAGTTTTCAGCTTTGCCATTTCTATCTAGATATGTCTACATTTAGTAAATGTCTTCTTAATTCACCAATGAGATGCTTGTTTCTTCATGATTTGACTACAATCTCCATCATGAAAATTATTACACTTTAGTTCATGTGTAGTGGTGTCCCGAACGGTTCGCGAACGGTTCGCCGAACGGTTCGCCATGGACTCATCATTCCTGCCAATCAGCAGCAGACCCTCCTGGACAGCATCCATTTTGAAGCTGCATTCTTAGTGAGCTGTCCAGGAGGTGGGAGGGTCTGGTGGAGCTTCCCGTGCGGCGGGGGCATAGCTACATAGTTACCTCTGTTCATTGTGGAGGCAGTGCAGCTCCTGGAGACTGTTTGTTGGGGAAGCAGGGACTCCTTCCTGCTTCCCCTGTAGCAGTTATCTGGCACTTGTAGCTACGCCCCCGCCGCACGGGAAGCTCCACCAGACCCTCCCCCCTCCTGGACAGCTCACTAAGAATGCAGCTTCAAAATGGATGTTGTCCAGGAGGTGGGAGGGTCTGGGAGGGAGGGTCTGCTGCTGATTGGCTGGAATGATGAGTCCGCAGCAAACCGTTCGCGGAGAAACGTTCGCGAACCGTTCGGGACATCACTATTCATCTGTATTCAATTGCATACAGTGACCTCCTCTTGAGTACTAAAAAGCTTTATGGCCAAACATAATCAACAAACACATTCCTAGCATTTGGGCAAAAACAAAACTTAAGCAAAAAAGAAAGAATGAAAACTCTAAGAACGGACAAAAGTAAACTCAATAGCTTGCCTTTCGGTACATCCCCGCTCAGGTCTTCGATAGTCTTAAAACAAAAGTTATGCTCAGCCTAAGGGAGCCTTAACAACTGTATTCAAACTTTCTATTCATTTTATTAATACTTTCTAAACATATAAAAAGTTCAACAACAACTACCACTTTATTGTCCAATCTTCTTGGA